AATATTAATATTTATGAGACAACATAAATATTATTAAATTAATTATGAAATATATTTTTATAATAAATCTAGGTCGGCACATAGATGTTAATACTACTCATACAAATTTTTGGGACAGAGGGTAGATGTTGTACGGTGGTTTATACTTTTCTGACTTATTTGAAAGCACCCAGGGATGTAGGCGTAACCGCCAGCAAAACGGCAGGTCTTAGCCGCCGTGCTAGGCTGCTAGCTTAGTCACTAGGCCGCTACAGTACAAAAAGAGCCAAAAGAGCCAACAGGGGCTCTGCACGGTGCATGTGCTACTGAGCGTGTGTGTATATATAGGCCACGTTGGTTTGTTTTAAATTTGATTTGTTCGGTTTATTTTTTCAATCGTAAAAGTGTTTTTTTTTCACAATAATTCAACCGGAACAGTATTTTTTAGTTAGTTTTAGCCAAAATTCATAGCAGCGAACGGGGCCAATATATACACACACGCTCCATTCGCGGAGTACTACTACTGTATTTGACAATGCACGGTACCAGAAATAAATAAGGCAATTAAGGACGCGATTGGTGCAAAACATGTCAATTTGATGCCCTGTCATTCAACCTGTTCGCTGATTCAATAAATTATTTGTGCTAGTTTATATGGCTGATTTGTTATAAGAGAAAAATATTGTACCATGATTACAGGTTGAATGAATTGTCTCCTGCTGCATGCGCATCAACGGAATCTGCTAGTCAACTTCAATCATGCTGCTCTCCGTATACTTAGTCTAGATGTATAATAAAGGTGCGTTTAGATTCGAAATTTTTTGGTTTTTTGGTACTGTAGCACTTTCGTTTGTATTTGGTAATTAGTGTCTAATTATGGACTAATTATATTCGAAAGTTTCGTCTCGCGATTTCTCACCCAACTGTGCAATTAGTTTTTTTTTCGTCTACATTTAGTATTCCATGCATGTGCCGCAAGATTCGATGTGACACTTACTACGCAAAAAAATTTAGCTTTTGGATGGAACTAAACAGAGCCTAAGCCGATCGATGTGTCATCATCGTCTCGCGTAAGAAAGTAGGAAAGGAGGAGAAAACAATGGCAAACAGGCAAAGAATTGCCATCTCCTGATGTGGATTGTGGAGTAGTACGTACGGGACGTCGCGCTCGCGCGCGCGCGGCTTCAATTTGAAGACGCCATGGGCCGCCGGGCGGGTGCGCAAGCAGCCTCCCCTCATCATCAGAAAAAGGCTGAAGACGCCGTCGCCGCCGGCCGTGTCCGCAAGCGGCGGCCTCATCGCCAGAATTCATCATCGGAAAAAGTTAAAAGCTAAAAAGCGCGCGGCGGGTAGCTAGGCGCGCGGCTTTGCCATGTAATAAACAAACAAAAATTTCTACAAAACAACCCAGCGTATGATTGCCGGGAGCGCAGTGATGAACTGATGATCGCGAGTTATAGTACCCGGCCCACGTAAACAAACTCGTAGTAGGCGGCGTCAATGCAGACTTTGGCAGGCGGTCGAGCATCTCTCTCTTTTTTGCGTCATCGCTGACGGCACCGGTCGCTCGGTTGTTCCCTCCGATCCGGCTTCCCGTTCCTGTTAGCTCAACATCATCGCGCCATGGGCCCTCTTCGCTTCTCTCGTAACCTTCAGTTTATTTTTTTAGTCGGAATAATATTTTTCTCTCACAACAAATCGGTCAGAACAGTGTTTTTGTTTGTTTTTTTCAGCGAAACGAACAGGGCCCATGGTGGCGATCGACAATGTAGAGTGTACGCCATCGCGTCCAGAGTTCCAACCATCCTCCGTCCCTTCTACAAGTTTCACAACCAAGGCGCTGTCGTTTCTTATCAATAGCGTATTATAATTGTATCCTTCCTTTTTCGAGGAGCCAGACAATTTAAAATTTGACATATAGTTTAAAATATAATTCTCATTTTTTTTGGAGTTAGCCAATTTAAAATTTGATCAAAGATATATAAAAATGCTAGCGTTTACGTTACAAAATAAATATCATTATGTAAATTATAAAATATATTGTCATAAGAAATCTAGTTAGACACATAAATATTATGTGAAAGACCGAACAAACGATCCGAGGGGAGGGTGAGTGAGAGCCAATTCAAATTTCTTGACCGAAAAACTGGCCTCTGTCCCCAACAATCCACAAAAGCGTTCTTGAAAGCCCAAAATCACAAACCAAAGTCATACAAGCCAACTGGTGACCGGATAACTCCAACTCACTCAAATAAGACATTCGAAAGGTACAAGAAGCAACACAGCGGAGAACTTTTTCAAGAAAAGCAAATCGCAATCGAAACCCAACTGGGTGTAGCCAAACTGGCCTGGCCGGTTTCAGTAACCGGCGTGGTGAGTTTTTCTACACAAACCGGTCTGGCTAGTTTCAGAACCGGCCTAGCCAGTTTTTATGCACAGCAACCCGAGACAATCTCAAAAAAAGGTGATTCTTACTCAAACCAAGTTTTGTATAGAGCTTTCTTAAGGAGTTGTGAAACTATTCCCAAAAGCCCAACTCCAAAAACTTCATGAATCAAAGCAGATCTAAGAAACCATCTCCAAGATTGGGCTTTTCTCAATTTTCCTCAAAAACTTAGATCTTCATCCTCACGAGGAATCTACCAATACAAGACCAGTGTCTAGAGAAGTTCTTCAGACGTCCCCAAACTAGCCCAAGTGCTTAGATCGAAGATTTCAAAAAGAAAGCTGAAAAACCAACAAAACAAAGACAAAACAAGAAAGGGGAGAGGATCATATCGATTCAAAAGACCCGTGGGTCAACTTGATTAAATTCAACAATAACAAGTTAAAAAGACATGGCCTATCCTCCTTCCTTCATCCTTCCTCTTTCAGATCAGAGATCAGACGCTCAAGGCAGTCACCGTCTCTACAGCTAATTTTCCTAAGCAGTTAAAACTTGGCTAGCCTATAATGACTTAGATGGGAGAGATGGCTGTCTTGGGCAGCCTCTATCCTTATTTATAGGGCTATTACATATTCCAAGATTATCCCTAGATATTTCCCTGAACCAATTTACCCTAGGGGCAAAATGGTCCAAGATAAGTTTTGCATAGCGGACGGCCACAATTCCTTGGTGAAGAAGCTTTGCCTCAACGACACTGGCTGCTCAGTTGTTCCCTCTGGTCTGGGTTCTTGTTCCTGGCGGCCCAACATCATTTTATATTTATATCCGTGCCACGTAGATGGGGTCTACGCCGCTGGTGGTGACAGTGTAGAGCATACTCCATCCCGGCCAGAGTCCCAACCGTCCGCAAGTGGAGTAGTGATCTTAGGTCACCCGTAATAGGTGACTCATAAGCTAGCTCTAAGTATTTTTTTTTATATTTTAATAGAAGAGAGAGAAATTAGTTCTTGATTAAGAGCTAGGCTCATACTCACATTCCAAGATCATGTGAGAGTGTCATTTGAGGCTATCCATGTTACGAGCTATATGCTAAAAGTTAGTACTATTGAGGAAGTTGGCTTAGAGCTAGTAACTAACTTATACCATTGCGGGGTGCCCCGTGAAGTTTGGTAGTTTAGAAAATGAACTCCCTCACCTAAGGTTTGGCAACGATATGGAAATATGAATCAATGGTGGTAGGATTAGTTGGATCCGAGGCTTAGTTATATATGGTGGTACCATTAGTTGAATGTAGTGGTACGTAGCGTGAATCGAAATGAAACAGTTGAGATGGCCGAAACAAAAGGACGCTCATCATCATCAGTGACGCAGGAAAGGCTTGAAGCAGGACGCCGTTTTATTTTATTTGTCCCACGTGCCGCTCGCAGCTAGCAAGCGGCGCAGTATGACTGGGCTAGGCGAGCGCTACGTATCACAGCCGCAGGTTATTGATTGCTACTCCGATCCTACAGTAGTGGTAGGTAGTCCATGGACTGCACTGCACCCCAACTACTCCTATTATTACTGTACGGATCCCATGTGTACACCTGTGACCGACGCTCTGATCTCGAGGGAGAGGTGGTAGCCCAGATTGACGGATCGGACGCTCAGGCTCAGCATGCAGCAGCGGAGCAGCCAGCTGCGGTGCCGCCGTGCGCTGCGCACAACTCCCCACGCAACGGAACGGTGCATGCATTGCACGGTTCCGTTCCAGGAACCAAACGCTAGCTGCCACCTATGGCCCTGTTTGGTTCATCTTACGGGAGTTCGTTTATAAGTTGAGCAGAATTATATAATAAGCTGCGATGTATAAAATCTGTTGTCTAAATAAGTGGGTTATTTGGCTGATTATTTCGGGTAGGACATTTTGCAGTGGAAACCCTAAACTTTTTCTCAAACTGTGTAGCACTATTTACTACTATTTCTGTAAATCTATAGCCTTTCAACTATACCCAAATAAGAGTTTCTATTTGCATCATGGTCCTTCTTCTTCGATCGACGCACAAGCTCGGAGGGAGCCGGCCTCTCGCCGACAGCTCGCGCGGAGGGGAGGGGCACCGCCGCCGGCAGCTCGCGCGAAGGGGAGGGGCGGCGCTCCAGCGGCTCGCGCAGAGGAGAGGGGCGCCGCTGCTGCCGGCTCGAGCGGAGGGGAGGGGCGGCGCGCCGGGCATCTCGCTCGGAGGCGAGGCGCGGCTTGCGCGGATGCGAGAGCACCGGAGAAGGGAGGGGTGCGGTAGGAAACGTGAGAGCGTTTTCCAAATCGCGGCCTTGGGCTCGCGATTCGGCCAACACAGTGGGCGACCGTTGAACGCAGATGCACGTTCGTGTTGAGCCCTCTGTCGCGAACCGTTTGGTGTGATTATTGGCCCGTGCGGGTCAGAACGCGCTTATACGCGGAACCAAACAGGGCCTATGGTTCCATTTCCATGCATCCAATTTGTGTTTCTTCTCTCCGGCCCGCTCCCGTCCGTCCGTCCGTCCGTCGCTTTATATAGATAGAGAACCGCCAACAAACACACGCACGCGCAGGCGTCACAAGCCGATCGAGCCAGCACCACGCACGACCGCTGACAGACAGCAGCAGATCGATACTACGATGGGCGAGAGCAAGCTGGAGAGCCCGCTGCTGGGGCTAAGCGCGTCAGGGGCGCCGCCGTCGCCCGGCAGCAGGCACGGGCACGGGCACGGCGAGGCGATGAGCGGGCAGCTGGAGAGCATCCTCGGCGACACCTCCCTGCCGTGGGGCCGGCGGATGGTGGCGGCGTCGGTGGTGGAGATGCGGCTGCTCGTGCGCCTCGCGGCCCCCGCCGTGCTCGTCTACATGATCAACTACCTCATGTCCATGTCCACGCAGATCTTCTCGGGCCACCTCGGCACGCTCGAGCTCGCCGCCGCCTCGCTCGGCAACACCGGCATCCAGGTCTTCGCCTACGGCCTCATGGTATGTAGTATGTACGCCCCCCCGGCCCCCGCCGCCGATTTTCATTTGTACTTGGTGAGATGATTGCTTTTATTTATCCGTGATTCGTACTAGTCTACCTGTCGGACCGTTTTTTCCCCTTTGCATGCATATGCGAATCTTCAGAGTAGTACTAGTACGAATCAGTCTGCCTCCGATCGATTGCGTGGCTCATAGATCATTTGAGCGCCAAGTAATAAGTAGGCATATTAGCTGAGCTGAAAAACATTGACAAATAATAGTTGGCATCGTTTACATGGCGGGCCCCTCCACAAGTTACATGCATGAAAAATGTGATTAGCTTTGTTTTCCCTTTGATTTGGCAAACAAACAAACAAACAGATTCGTTATTACATATAGTACACGCACAGTTATCATCTGCAAATCAATGTTTGCACGTACACCGTATGTATATATGCCCAAGTCCTAACACCATCGCGAAAGACTTGAGCCTATAGAAAGAAAGATTGATAAAGTCACGGTCCCACAGATGTAGCGACCGGATCGCCACGCACGTTGTAGCGACCGATGCTTGATGACTTGAAATTTCATTTCACCGAGCTGAGGCAAGAAAGAGGAGTCGAGCTAGGCTAACCATTCAGGCCGGCACGGTGTGGCCATGAGACCACACACATACTTACTACTCCCGCTATCTCTATCTTCTAGAAGAGACTACCTGTAGTACACGCGTTCGCTGGGCGCTGTGTCACCACGTGCTCCGACGACCATCTCAAGACCCAGGCTATATTTTATATTCTTATTCCGGACACAGCCACATGTTGTTGTGAAGCTGGGAAATGTTCCCATTCCACAACCACACTTCTCTTGCATGGTTCATTAATTATTACGCGCGCCCGACCCTCCTCCGTCCAAAGACCAAAGGATAGGAGAGATGAGGTCCAGAGCAGCTGCTGGCAGGGCGGCGAACAAGATGGCCTTTGCTTCCTCGTCCTCCTCCTCCTTCCTTTCCTGCTCGCTAACGCTAGCACATGCGTACGTGTCATCACGGCGTCCGTTTCGCTGATGCCGACGCGCATGACCTATTACTATCTGCCTGCCAGACATTTCTTCAACGGGGTGTGTGTGTGTGTGAACGATCTCATCCATCTAATAACAACTATCCCAGTCCAATTTCTTTTTATTTTATTAATAATAATCTCAAAAAGTGCCAATTTTTTTTTTCTCATCTTGGGATGAAATGCTACTACAGTCATCGAGAGGTAGCTAAGCTACTTAACTGTGGTGGACTGCGCTATAATTGAACTGAATTGAATGAACAAAGCAAACAACTGATGTGCATGCAATTGCAATGCAGCTGGGCATGGGGAGCGCGGTGGAGACGCTGTGCGGGCAAGCCTACGGGGCGCACAAGTACGACATGCTGGGCATCTACCTGCAGCGCTCCACGATCCTCCTCATGGCCACCGGCGTCCCACTCGCCGTCATCTACGCCTTCTCCCGGCCGATCCTGGTCCTGCTCGGCGAGTCCCCGGCCATCGCCTCCGCCGCGGCCGTCTTCGTGTACGGCCTGATCCCGCAGATCTTCGCGTACGCGGCCAACTTCCCGATCCAGAAGTTCATGCAGGCGCAGAGCATCATGGCGCCCAGCGCCTACATCTCCGCGGCGACGCTGGTCGTGCACGTCGGCCTCAGCTACCTCGCCGTTTACCAGTGGGGGCTCGGCCTCCTGGGGGCGTCGCTGATCTTGAGCCTCAGCTGGTGGGTCATCGTCGCCGCGCAGTTCGTCTACATCGTCACCAGCCAGCGGTGTCGACTCACGTGGACCGGGTTCTCGTGGGAGGCCTTCTCGGGGCTCCCCAGCTTCTTCAAGCTCTCGCTTGCCTCGGCTGTTATGCTCTGCCTTGAGACATGGTACTTCCAGATACTCGTGCTCATCGCCGGACTCCTCAAGGACCCCGAGCTTGCTTTATCCTCACTCTCTGTCTGGTAAGTAATTATATATTTGTTATTATATATATATTCTTATATATATGTACACCTTACCTGCATTGCAGTTGCCAGTTGTATATATAGAACTATGTTATTAATTGTTGACAAGCAAGAACTGACTTGCATTGTTTTTTTTTAATTCTCTGCGCGCGCGGCGGACGTTGCAGCATGACACTTACAGGGTGGGTGTTCATGATATCAGTTGGGTTCAATGCAGCAGCCAGGTAAATAAAAATATTAAAAAAACAGACCCCTGTTCTATTCTGAATTTCTGATGAAAGGAAAAGAAAAGACCATTCATTTCCATTTCCAAAAGTTAAAACTGAACTGAACTGAACTTTGTGCCGGCAACACAACTGAACTGAACTGAATTTCTATCTGTCGTTTCTTCTTCAGTGTACGAGTGAGCAACGAGCTTGGTGCCGGCAACCCAAAGGCCGCGTCCTTCTCTGTGGTGGTAGTCACACTGCTCTCCTTCGTCCTGTCGGTCCTAATCTCCATCGTCATCCTGCTGTGCCGGGACTACATCAGCTACATCTTCACCGAGGGCGAGGACGTGTCGCGGGCGGTCTCCCAGCTCACACCGCTGCTGGCGGTCACCCTCATCCTCAACGGCATCCAGCCCGTCCTCTCTGGTCAGTCACTACTCTCTACATATACAGTAAACAGCACAGCACTCTGCATTGCTCATAGATGGATGGCACATTTATTTATTTAACTGAAACCTCCATTCTACAGTATATATGACACACTGATACAAATAATAAACAAATAAATCTTCTGAATATAATGCAGGGGTCGCTGTGGGGTGTGGATGGCAAGCGTTCGTCGCATATGTCAATGTCGGTTGCTACTACATCGTCGGCATCCCCCTTGGGTGCCTCCTAGGATTCTATTTTGACCTCGGAGCAGCGGTACGTACAATGCAAACTCTGCGCATGGTTCTTCGTCACTTCATCTTGATGTAATGTAATGACGACTGCATATATGATTGCAGGGTATTTGGAGTGGTATGATTGGGGGCACCTTCATGCAGACCTTGATCCTGGTGTGGGTTACATACAGGACCAACTGGACCAAAGAGGTACAGATTGCAATAACTTACTCCAATTTGGTTTTGTGTGTACTGTAAATTGAAGTTTTCAAAATTAATTGTTCACCAATTACAACCTTCATAGAGAGATAACTATGTTAACGAAAGCCATTACAAACAGGAAGCACAATTTTGTAAGAAATGATAAATTCATCCAGCTTTTCAGTGCTTGCCTCTTATCCATTTCTACTTGTATTATTGAGATGAATTCATTCCGAATCTCTCCTCGAATGCAGGTTGAAGAAGCACAGAAAAGATTAAACAAATGGAATGACGGCAAGGCTCCTCTGTTGTCAGCCCAAGAATGAAATAAGTCTTCTATGTTGCCAAGCCAAGAATGAGAGATGGATATGAGCTGTAGTACGTGATGCCCTCGCTCGCTCGGCAGGCTCAGCTAGCAGAGACGGAATTCGATGTCAAGTAGCAATTCCATATCCTGAAATGTGTAGAAGGAGATGGCTGAAATTTTAAATTCTATTCTTCAATCACGCAATTCAACTTTATGTTCCATTACATCGTTCACTGATGCGACTGCATAGTAGCCAGTGATAATTTTTGTTGGAACTCCTCAAACAAAAGCGGGTTGCTCTCCAATCTCTATTGATGACATTGGAAAATTCGCTAGTAGGACTTGTGTAGTTTTGTACCCAAAGCCAGTGATAATCCCTATTCGCTTGTCTTGTAATCCATACTTTTCAACTTGTTTTTTCAACCGGAATAGTGTTTGTGTTTGTTTTTTCAGCGAAGCGAACGGAGCCATTCTAGACAATATTAATGCAGTTTTAAATTGGAGCAGACACAAATTAGGTGACCCGCAGGGTACAAGTGCTAGATGTCATCTATATCCAAGAACAGAGTATGTACCGCGAACAGATTAGATGCTAAGAGCATAGGATAATTCTATGGAGCAATACTATGAGGAAACGAATAAAATGGCAGACTTTTTTCAATGGCTCTTTGAGAGGAATGGGGCTCCGGCCGCATGTCCAAGAAGCAAGAGCTGTCAAGCAAATCCTGCACATCTTTGGGGAAGCTTCAGGACTGAGAACCAACCTTGCGAAGTGTTCCATCACGCCTATTTATGGAGGCGAAGATTCATTGGAAGAAATCGTGTCCATCCTAGGCTGTCAGGTGCAGCAGTTCCCCATCAGGTACCTCGGTCTACCTCTGAGCACAAGGCCAATACCCAAATCACATTTCCAGTCGGTGGTGGAGGGAGTGGCCAGGAAGATGCCGCCATGCCACGGCAACCTCATGGCCAGAATTGGGAGGCTCGTCTGGATCAAATCGATGCTGCGTGCAGTGCCGATCTACGCGATGATGGCAGAGAATTTGCCACCATGGGCACGGAAGGAAATTGATGGAATCTGCAGGAGGTTCTTCTGGGCTGGAACGGATGCGTCGGTCCAGGGGAAGTGCATGGTTGCATGGCCAACCGTCTGCAGGCCGACGGAGCTAGGAGGACTAGGCGTCAGCGACCTAAAACTCGCCGGTTTCGCCCTACAAACCCGGTGGCTGTGGCTCCAGAAAACCGATCAAGACAGGGCTTGGAGTGAGCTGCCGATCAAGACATCGCCGGAGGTGCTAGCTTTTTTCAAAGCTTCAACTTACACGTTGATTGGAGACGGACGGCAGGCGCTATTCTGGGAAGACACCAGATGGATACATGGTGAATCCATCTCGGACATTGCACCATGCCTGTACCAGTTCGTGCCACCAAGAACGCGCAGAAGACAATCGGTGCGACAAGGACTGACTGACAGATCATGGGTGCGCTGCATATCCGGTGGGGTATCCCTGCAAGCCATCCATGAATACCTGAACCTATGGGACATCTTGCAAGACATACACCTCAGTGAGCAGCCTGACCAAACCCATTTGGCGATGGACCAATGATGGGGTTTACTCGGCTAAGTCTGCATACTCCATGCTGCACTCAGCGTCCACACCATTCATGGGTCACAGGCTTATCTGGAAAACCTGGGCACCGCTGCGGATCAAGATTTTCCTTTGGTTGGTGTTCAGACGACGCCACTGGACTGGTGACAGGAGAGCAAGGCACGGGCTAGACGCCAGGGAGCAGTGCTACCTCTGCGACCAAGGGCGGGAAACCATCGATCATATCCTGGCCGAGTGCCCTTTCACTAGAGAGGTCTGGTTCTTCATCTTCCGAGCCCTGCAACGTCCATTGCCGCAACCAGCAGCAGCCACAACTCTACGATGGTGGCGCCGGCTGCGTGCAGTATACAATGGTGATCAACGTCGAGGTATCCACTCCCTGTTCGCGCTGGTATGCTGGATCATCTGGAAGGAGCGTAACGCCCGGTGCTTCAGAGAAGCAACATCATCTGTGAACGAAGTCCTGCAGCTAGTCAAGGCCGAGGCTGATCGTTGGATTGAGGCCGGCGCAAGGGGGCTGGAAGCTTTGGCTCGCCTGTGACTTGGATGATCATCCAACACAGATCGTTGTTTTATTTCATAATGTAGCAGTTTGAAAACACTAACGCGGCCGTGGAACGGCATCTTGTAATGTTCAAACTCTTTCCTTCCTAATACAATGATACGCATTGCTTCTTGTGCGTATTTGAGAAAAAAGAGAGGAATGGGGCTATATATATGTGGTTCCCTAGCTTGAGTGTGCTAGTGTGCCCCAAAGGCTAAGATAAGTTAGTGCACATGTTTCAGCACTTCATCCACCCTTCTCAAGACATTCAAGATCACACCCAAGACTAGGATAGATGGACACTATAACTCATCCTTGTGAGGTTTAGGCCTTAAAGCTTGAGTGCTTTGAGAGAATGGGCTATCAAGCCCTTGTGTCTTAGTGATTTGGAGTACTTAAGATCTTAACCTTCTAGTAAAGGCGTGGTGGCCTTCCAAGCAATGACCCCTCGTTCTTGGTGTGGAGCAGCGTCATACCGGAGGGGGGGGGATGATAAGACCCCTACCTCCTCATGTGGAGAAGCTCCGTAAGTATACACGATATCAAGGTGACGGAAAAACCTGAGTGGGTGGTGAGACTTCGTGACTCACTTAACTAACCTTTGGTTGGTGGAAGCCTTGTGAGGCAAATCAAACAACGTGATCGAGAGAGACTTAGTGACTAAGAGCGTACCTTGGTGGAGCTCCAACATGGACTATGTGTTTCAATAGTTTGCCCTCACTCTCTAGCCTTAGCTCTTTACTTACACTTGTTGCTTCCATGTGAGGTCTAACCATGTTTTGATAGTTTGTCCTCGCTCTCTGTCCTTAACTCTTTATATCAATTTGTTTAGTGACCCCGAACGTTTATGGTTAACTATGATTTAGTCCCAAACAGAACACGTTTTAATTTCTCATGTATATCCAACTCAAAGTACGTGAGATTACAATAGCATTTGACTTCTTCTACTTAAAAAAAACCCGGAAAAAACCCATTCTACCAAATGTTTCTTCGCAGAACCCGGAAAAAACCCGGAAGCCATTTCTCTGGAAGTTTCCGGGCTAGGGAGCCTGGCAAACATGGCATGAATCTTGCTAGCGAATGACCTGGCCTTCTTCTCTTTGCTTGATCACGTGGTAAGGCAAAAACGTCAACACCTAACTTTGATCCATGATCCACGTGCAGACAGTGCACAGGCAAAATCATGTACAGTACGTTACTGTACTAGTGTCGCTGGCTGCTCGGCCGTACGTGAGCCGGTGAGGCACGTTGCTGGCTCGTTGTTCCGCGCGTGATCACTCACCACAGCCCCAGGCTCATAGAGTAGAGCCCGGATGCGGAAGGGGACAGGATTTCGCAGACGGCGACAGCGGCAGCAGGACCTAGAGGTCAACTTACCACGCCGCGCTGATTGTGCTTGTGCCAAGATTGTGGAGCACGCCGCTCAGATTGTGCGCAGGACGTGCGCTGGTGGCCGCGCGTGGGGTTGTTTAGATCCTCCATGCTGAGCACGAAGTGGTCCCTGCCGCCGCCGGGCGCGCTCTCGTCGATCTGATTTGGGGGATGGTGATTGGAATCAGAGGCAGTCCGATTCGGACTAAGCAAGGGCGGGCGGTGGCGGTGTCTGAGAAGGGTGGACGGGCAACGACGATGGTGGCTGAGGGTCGGGCGGCAGCGGCGACGAGCGAGGTATCCGAGTTTCGGTGGGAGGCCCGACGGGGAAGAAAGTGGAGTGGTTGGAAAGATTGGATATTTTATTCCTGACTAAAGGCCCAACACATTTACCATAGCTAAAGACTACTAACACAGGGCCAACGTATATGGACTACTTGTCCATATGCTTTGTGGTTGCTCTAAGAGCAATGCAGCTTTTGTTTTCTTAATGGAATAAAATCAATGCACTCCTTGGTTGTCATCTCAATTAGCTTTAGCTTTAGCACTACTGGACACGAGAAACCACTCTCTTCATTCTTGTAATGTAATGTTCGAGCTACCAAAAAGGTGGTTGCTTGCAGTCCATTCTTCTCTTAACTTCCATTTTACGCGGTCTTTATCTTGTCTCGATTCTTTGTCCCACTCGAGCAGATTAGATTCGTTGTCGTCTTTTTGTAATTTCTCACTTTCTTTATATTTCGGGACCAAATTAGATTCCGCTGTCACATTCATATGGTGATTAATTGATTTCATCAGCCAGCAGGTTCTGCTGATCTCCTATTGACTGATGGATGCCAAATAAATGAATCCTACGTACAATGTTGAATTATCTTTCACAATGAAGCTGACATCCTTGAACGCCTAGACAAAAATTATGAGTTATTATACAAGAAGTTTACTTTAATTTCTCTGGAAAAAACAATTTTAGAGACGGTTGTGTTGACGTTTCGTAGGATGAACTAGTAGGTCCTCTTTGGTAATGGCTTCTTCGGCTTAAACTTCTTTAGAAATGTACAATGTGGCGTCAATGTTTGGTATTGTAGCAAAAGCTATTTTTCTCTCTCCAACCCAAAATACGCAAGAATAGGAACCACAATTTTGTAAGAAATGATAATTCATCCAGTTTTTCAGTGCTTGCCTCTTATCCATTTCTACATGTATTGAGATGAATTTATTCCGAATCTCTCCTCGAATGCAGGTTGAAGAAGCACAGAAAAGATTAAACAAATGGAATGATGGCAAGGCTCCTCTATTGTCAGCCCAAGAATGAAATAAGTCTTCCATGTTGCCAAGCCAAGAATGAGAGACATGGATATGAGCTGTGGTACGTGATGCCCCTCGGCAGGCTCAGCCGCTCAGCAGAGACGGAATTCGATGTCAAGTAGCAATTCCATATCCTGAAATGTGTAGAAGGAGATGGCTGAAATTTTAAATTCTATTCTTCAATCACGC